GCGCCGAGGGTTGTGGATCGTCTCTGAGGGCCACTGTCATGCTGCCTACTGTGACGATGATCTAGAGAATGCGTCAGCAGCACTGGGACGGCAGAGTAAACAAGCCATGCTCCCCTGGGCTGAAAAGAAAATTCAGGCCTGCGAGTGGTACTAACGCTACGATGAACGGCCTACAATGGCTGCTCTGCTTATCAAAGAGAAGGATTAGCTTTTTCTCAGATTAGAGTTTATTTTAATGGTGATGCTGCTCTTCAGGATGAGAATAAATGCATGACTGCTGAATAGATTAATCAAAAACATCAAAAATGAGCTAGTGGACAACACACCTACAAATAAGCATTTGACCTTGCTACATGTAGTTAGCTAAGCTCTTCCTCTCACTAGTTAGAAGACATAGTTTAAACTTCCTGGTTTGTTAGCGGCTGGTGCCCTCTGCTGGGAGTAGTGTGTGTGTGTGTATTAGTGAATTTGTACAAAGGAAAAAGCGAGTAAACTTTAGCACTTCTAGAGAATAGAGAGAAGGCCTTATTTAGATTTCTGCACGGAAACTTTGTAGAGCCTACAGCATACATGTAAGTGGCTGAGGTTGTTGCTGGCAATTCCTATATTGATTTTATTGTCCTTTAAATTGACATGATGATTGTTATTCTCTCACTGATAAATTCGAGTTTGCAGTTAAGACGTAGCTACGGCGTAGATTCCCCACTAAAGAATAAATCCGCAGTAAGCCTTACCTGGGTCATCTTATCCACAGAGACGGGGATGCCATCAATTGTGAGCGGGGGCAGCTCTGAGGCGAGTTCTCCACCTGCAGGGGCATGTTCAGCCAGGGCGTTCTCCAGGTCCTCCAACAACATGCTCTTATACTTTCTTACCTAGTATCCATGAAAGATACATCACAGTGTGTCAGCCTGAGCTTTTAAGAGTGATAGCAGGTTTAAATAAATCACTGAAGAAAACATTTGCTAGTAGATACCTGGTCAAAGATAAGTAACTGCATGCCTTTTTTTTGGTTATGTTATTAAGACAAAATCAATATGGCCTTTAATAAATTATTATTAGCTATAAAATTATGAGTATTTTTAATACACAAATAGTTTTTAGGAAGAAAGATGTAAAGCAGATTCAGTTTATCTAACATGCAGTGTATACTTATGACAAGGGAAACACTGCATACACGTGAATGACTGAGAGGGCTTCACTGAAATAAATGAAGGAGAACACTGAGGTTTGGTGTGATGGTAAGTTTCACTGTGTTACAATCTAATCCTTTCTACCTGCTCTATTTATAAGACTTACCACATTCTCCAGAGGAGCAGCACCAAACACCTTGAACACAGGGTTGGGTTTGGAGGGGGAGATGCACAACACTATGGCTTGTTGGCCCACTCTAGTGGTGTACTCATCCAACGTGGCTCGCAGTTTCCTGTTAACAAACACCATCCTTTACTTCTGTGTTCAGATTAAAAGCTACAAAGCACAACAACAATTCTACCCTAGGAGCTGAGCGAGGGATATTTTGGTCACCGTAGCTGCTGTCAGAAAAGCTATTAGATCCACCTGAGCAGACGAGTCTGCTGTCTCTTACGGATGGAAGGGTTGGATTCAAAGATATGAGGCCTTTTTCTTTTCTTCCCAGTTGCTACAGCAGCAGCAGCTGCCATACCCACTGGCCCTGAAAGAAAGAGGAGGAGGAGAGATTTTACCAAAGGTAAAAAGAGACAAAGTATTTTCCTTCTCTGATTTGAGCTTTTAAAGCCCATGTGGTTGTTACTGTTTATTGTTCTCTTTTTTTAAATATAAAATATGTTTTTAAAAAGACATGAAATAGCATTTCACCGATTTAATTTCAAATCATGTCAACTTTAAGGGATAAAGATGGAAAAAAAAAACATGGCAGAGGCTTGACAAAGGCAACACTGCCTACACAACTAATCCACTGGCGCCACCTGTTGCTCAATTGAAAGCATTTTGCTTAAATTATGGCGTTATGGGATTTACCAGGCTTGTATAATTAATCATAGCTGCTAAGAAGAATAAAAAAATAAACAAAAAATGGTCTGTTGTAAGGAGTTGACCGTCTAATTTGCCACAAACTTTACAACCTTAATAACAATTATCAACATAAGTCTACAGGTCGTGAAGCACTTCTGCTTGTAACTTTGAACACACTCTGACCACTCTGGAAACAGCACAGAGTTTAGACTCACCTGCAGCAGCCAGGTGAGCTGTGACCTCATCAGTGCCAGCCGAGTTGAGGATGTCTGTGTCATCATATGGATCGTCATCTGGCGAGGAGGTCGAGTCTTCCTCAGCGCTCATCATGGATGTGTCAGTCAAGGTGGTCACATGTACCTATACACGAATCAATGAATGAATGAATGAACCTGAGACTTGCACTTTAGTGGGGTGTTGAGATTTCTGATCTGGGTCGGTAATTTAACAAGATGAGTGATTAATATCAGTAAATTTGTTTCTAATTTACACCATTTATTATGTTTGTAAATGCACCTGCTGACTGACAGCGCTAGCCTCAATGGTGGTCATGTGCTCTGTCTGGTGAACGGAGTGCTCATCCATTATCAGCCAGCTGGTCTACACAGCTAGGTCCACAGTACAGTTACTGAGGAAAGAAAGAGGGAAGTGATCAAAGCACATCAAATTTAACGAATACTGATATGTTATCTTAACAAGACAATATGCTGATATTTATTTATACACTTAAATGAATTCATATGCAACAAGAATTTGGAAGTGTTACGATATTTCAGACAAAACTGTGACCATGCACAGCTGCCACTGTCATTTATTTTTACAGGGAGAGCTGTCTGATGAAGATAGATGCTATGGTGTCTTTGTGTTTGTGCTTAGTGCACCACTGCCGCTCTGCCTCCAGAGGACGTCATACTGCATTAATAGGGAATTTCATTTGGAAGAGTATTGTCTGAAAAGAACGTTTCATTTTTTTCACTCTTGTCTGACTGTACCACTTTCACTCTGCCCATAGAGGGCACTTATGTTAGGTGTTACAGGTGATGAATTTGGAAGATGTGCATTCCACCCAGTAATAGATAGCTTAGCACAACTTAGATGCAAATCACAATTTAATGTCCAACTAAAGGGTCTTTAAAATTGTTTTGACAGTATGGGAAACTCCATATTAATTTGGAAAACTGGATATGTGAATATGTGGAGTTACACTGTAGTGTGGCTGAGGAAAAATAAACATATATTGCACACTAACACACACACAAATGCTTGTGTTCACTCCAAATCAATCAACTTACAGCGGTTAAAAGGTTTATGAATAAATGAAAGGAGACCGTTTCATGTAGATAACCTGCTTCATTGATACAGTGCAAAGATGATTTATAGAATAGTTTTATAATCATGTATCTGCACGCACTGTTTTAACTTTTACAGTGGCCTACAAGAACGTCAATACTGGCCCCCCACCAAAATAAAAAAATAAATAAATACATAAATAAATGCAACTGAAATTCAGGTCATTCATTTCAGTCTAATATATTTATTGCCAGCTGCAGTACATGAAGTCTAGACACTGAGGAGACCAGTGATGCACGAAACGCACAACTCCACAAGAATGTGTATGTGTAACCAATTTAGTGACCTGCAACCAGCTTAATTTTGCCCAGGACCGGATAAAGAATTGATCGTGCCAGACAGTAATGTACAGTTAGCCGGATCTGCCGGTCTACTGTCAACGACTGCTTCACTGAGCTAAGCTAGCAATGCCCTACATTCAGCTAATTAGCTGCCTAGCTAACCATTTGGCGGTATAAAGCCGGTCGTCTAAAATAACACGAATTCTGCCAACAATTTTCCACGTTCAGACACTAAACAGAACGATTACAGGGCGCAATGAAAGCCATCGTAATGTAGCAGCTAGCACGAAACCCGCGCAAAAAAATCACACAAAAACATAACGCCATAACAGGCCCGGGCCTGTGGGCTCATCCTCAGCTATTCTTCTCTCTCCGAGGTTGAAGTCGATACGCGCCTAGATCACGATTCCCCCCAAAAACAGATTTAAAATACAATCCGACTCCAGTCAACATCTAAACAATCTGCATCGTTCACCCCAACGCTGCCGGGTTCGATGATGCGGCTGCGCCGGGGCTGAAATAGATGGAGATTGCGCGGTAGGGCACTAACCTCAGAGCGGCTGCGCTACTTCGGGCCTGCGCCGTACAGCGGGGATGGAGCCGAGCTTTAATGGAGGACAGAGGGGAGCCAGCACCAAACACAACTAACAGACCGCACACAACAGTGAGCTGCACTAGTGATGCTTTCAAGTGCCTGCCGCGCAACCGTAAGAGTAATACACAAGAACTGAAACTACAATAACAAACGTGCACATAAATACTTTGTAGACATTGTTTCATTGTTTTCTTTAAACTGATTCTAGTTAACAACTCATTGACGATGTGTCAACCTGACATAAATATTAAACATACCTTCACTTTTTATTATGTCAGTTTTTAAATTCTCGATTTTTTTAATGAACCCCTACAAAACTGTTGAAAATAAATACGTAGAGCCTTTATTATGTTTTTTGGAGAGGGAAAAGTAATTAAAAATGAATGAGGGCATGGAAATATGAAACATAAAGTTTATCTTAGTAAATAAAAGATCAAACTAAGTAGTTTTTGCTGATTTTCCACGTTTAGAAAACCTGGACGTCACTAAATGTCCAGTTTAATATAACACGGACCTTTTTTCATTGCAATGAAGCCCATAGCTTACGATTCTGCACTGAAAACTAACTTTTCCTGTACTCATTGAACGCCACATAAGACCTGTCGAACCACGCCCCTTTCTATTCAACGGCGGCAGGCGCCAGAAGATGGTCGTTATTCAAAAGTGGTCTAATCCGGTTTGGCAACAAACAAACACGAAACCACAAAAAAAAGTATCTTTATTTTGTGTTAATAAAAGCTACTCCCCTACTCAGACCCCATCCTTACCAAGTAAAAAAAAAAAAACAACCCACCCAAACAAACAGAAAACCCCCCAACAACAATAGGCTAGACCAAACCAAGATTTCCAATTTACTGTAATTAGCAACTCCTGTGGTCCTGTGACATAGAGATGCCAGGCTGCTTTCTGTAATGAACATAGATTCTTCGAAGAGGTTAGTTGACTAAGCTGTTACTTGTTCATTTTCTCGTGTTTATTCCCCTAATAATACACAACTAATTTGCACAACTTTAATTATGAGACTCATGCAAAGTTTTACGCGGAAACATAGCAAGATCGGGCAGTAGCTGAAGGATAGCATTTGAACCGGTTAACACAGATTACAGAAAATCATCAACCCAGATCAGTGATAAAATCGAAGAAAATTTGAATTCAGATTACACTGTCAAGAGTTTTGCTATGCCGATTTTAAAATAGTGAAATATTTTCATAGTATCAGTTAAGTCATGTCTATCAGATTACCGCCTTGCTTAATAGTTAGCAATTTTTAAAAATAGATAATTACGTTTTATATAGTATTATATGTATAATAAAATGGAAGATATGCATCATAATATTGTAAAACGGCAACAACAAAAACTTGAAACATGAACCTATAAGATGCACGCTACAGGGTAAACATGCAGCTTTTTGTATTTTATTTGTTAGCAATCTTTCATTAATTTGAATTAAAGCATTTTTGTGCAACTCAAAAATAAAGTTAAAAATTAATTAGGTTTCTTTGTTGTTTTTAATACCAACCATTCAGTGCTTCTGCAGCGTTTTCTGTATCAGTGGCAGATATTAAAGTGAAGTTTAAGATACTGCAACCCTGAACACAGTTGGTGTCTTAAACACCTGGTGGGAGAGTGAGCTACACGGATAAAGAGGCAAGTTTCTCGTGTACTTATATTTAATTTCATACGTCCTCATGGGGGCAGTGTTGCATTACAAATCAGTCATGGAGCTGAGCTCTTCAAGTTTGTTGTAACAGGAGATGGCAGTAGGGCATCATTGATACGGCCCTCTGCAGGTGCCCTGGCATGTATTCAAGATGATGGATGTTTTACATTAGTGTGTGATGACAGCAGCTTATGTTTGTGTCTCACTAAATGTCAGCAAGTATCATATTAAAAAAATCTGGCAGGAGAGCTGCAAAGTGTGATCCTGCGTTTTACAGCTTCCATACTGTGTAGCTGACCTTCAATCCTCGCTGTCTCGCTGTCATCCCTCTCTGTCTTACTTTGCTTTCTACAGACAGACATGTGTTTTCATTGTTTCCTAAAGCTTCACAATGGATCTTTATATAGAAAGAAAAAGTGTCTGTTTTCTTTGCTGTTCCACACAACATGCGTTGAAATTTTAAGAAGAATTTGTTGGATTTTCTTTGTGAAAAAGTCAACCTTTAGCTATATTGTTTGCCTGGACTTTTATTCAGTTTTCTGTCTCAGGAGGTCATTTAAACATATTTTTTTGTGGTAACTAACTTGCACTCTGGTGCATAGATCATTTTAGCAGAGTCATAACTGCTCACAAATAATTTTTATGCCATTCACAGAAGTTGTTTCTCAAGGGCACTGCAGTGTGAAGCAATATCCTTGAAATAGGTGATGATGTCACATAGATGGAATGAAAAGCTGGAGAATGTAGAAGAAGCACGGTGCTATTATTTGGCCCTATTCTACTTTCTCTATCATGGGCTATGGTTGGGTATAGATAAGGTTCACAGCCTGGGGGTCTGGAATCAATAATGGATGTAATTGGTGAGCTGGAAGTGAAGATAATTGAAGGTAATTGTGTGGACCGTCACCAGCTTTGTCGAGAGGTCAAGTTATCGAAGACGAGAAGATGGCGGGGATGGTAAATCACTCTCTCTCCCCTAGACCTCCTACTGTATACCTATTGTTTATAGCATTACTTAGTAATAACACCTTTGCATTTTATTGACTTTCTTTTTCAAAGCTGAAACAATAGTTCCAAGAATGTGTTCGTCTTCACGTAAGTTGTTATATTTGCTCAGAAAAAGCATAATGACCTTGTAGTAAACTAGATCTTTTGCATCTTTGGGCCTTTTGGTGTAAAGGTACAATTTACAGATGTTAGATTTTAAGGTTGTGCTGTTTGTAGTGGACGCTTTACAAGCACGTTGTTACCATTCATACTCTCAACTCTGTATAATGCCAAACAGATCAGATATTTCCTTGTATCAGCAGCCTCACCCTTCTGCTGTTCAAACTTTCTGTTTATGAGGGGGACCCAATTAGAAGAAAGTTGGCTTGAAGTTACAGTAACCTGTTTCAGACACTGCATAGCCTGAGGGGCTGCATCAACGCCTAGTATAAGATGATTTTCATTTCTACTTGACTGGATTACTGCAACATCCTTTTTGCAGGGCTTCCTAAAACAACTTTCAGTAAGCTGTAGCTTATTCAGAAGTCTGCTGCAAGGGCATTAATGGAAACCAATAACAGATACTGGCTTCCAGAATCCTACAGAATTGATTTAAAAATATTTTATTTATATAAACAAATCTTAAATGGTCTGACAGTTAATCACTTTACATCCGAGTTTGCCTTCTTAGATCTTCCACTGCCAAACTGTTAGCTACGCAGTACTCCTCACAGAAAAAAAATTGGGGATGCAGCTTTTGCACATTATACCCACAAACTCTGAAACAGCCTCTCCCTCAAAATATTAGAGAAGTAGACTCTAAGGCCAATTTCAAGAAACTGTTAAAAACACTCTTTAAATCTGGTATTCAACTAGTATTTCCACTTAATAATAATACCACTGTCAGTTCTGGTGAGACTCGATTCAGTAGTCTGGGAGATACGGTGCAAAGTTCTTCTACTTCTAAGTTTGCTTCTTCATTATATTTTTCCTTGGTTTTTTTTTGTGGGACTTTATGTATTATTTATTTTTATGTATGAGCTGTTTATAAACTCGTGGGTGTGCATATATGCATTTTTAATGGGTTGTTTATTTGTTAAATATCTCTTTTAATATATTTATCAACCTCCTTAACCCCCAGAAAAGCCCTTTGAACCCATACATGTTATATTGGGCTATACAAATAATTGAAGTGGATTCATGTTTATTTTGAACTGTGAATCATAAAAAGGCATGGTACTAGAGTGTAAAGATAAAGAATGGAAATTCTGGAAAACGGCATAATAGATATCAGTCTTTTTAATTTTTATCTGGAAGAAAATTGTGCAGCCACTTCCTTCATTTAGTCACTTGATATGTGCATGTTGTTTTCAGTTTTTTGTCAGTACAACAAGTGCAGTTGTAATGCTGGCCCATAAAGCAGTGAACTGATGCACTATTTTGGCAGCCTTCATTAAGAATATGGTGTAAATGTTTAATTTAAAAATGTCTGCTAGTCAATATAATTCAAGAATCACAGTGCAAAAACTTATGGCCAGTGCATATGTAGATGCTCAGAGTAACTGGTATGCTCTGAGTCTCTTTGGCATTGTGTATTGGACAAAAGCAACTCATAGAATATTAATTAAATTCTTTCATAGATTCTTTTCTCCCAGTGAACTTTCCAGGGGCAGAGAAGTGTTTTAAAGGTGAAATGTGTCCTATGGTCAGCAGGGGGCACTGCAGTACTGTGCATTAACTCAAATCTCAACCTCTGCAAAAACTTCACTGGTGCTCTGCAGAGTCATGGCCACTGAATGATATGACACTTTCATTCATATTTCACTCTAAGAACATTCAGCGATTACTCCCATCTTATAGCTTGGAGTAAAAGGATTCCAAGATCTGCACTCTCTTATCTTTCTGTAGATTATATCTGCTTTAACATCATTTTACAGTCCAATTGGTGTTCTGTTTCAGATAATGCATTTTTGTTTTAAGTTGTCATTAGTGATAGATAAATGAAGGAATGTATCTATCATAACCTTGAACACTCAGAATACACTATGGTTGTGTACTCAATGTAAAAAATAACATTATTGTAGTTCTGCTCTTCTTTGACAATGCAATGTTCAGTATAGACTTCCTGTTAATTTTTTTTTCTTAGTTTAAAAAAAACAAACCAATATTTTTATGTAAATAAGATTTACATTTTCATTGTAGGTTATAGTCCCTTAACGTACTTAAAGAACCTGTTGAATGCGTACTGTAGATACAATTTAACAGCTTTACAGTATTTGTAAGCATCACTTGTGCAGCTGTAAAAGTTAAAATTCTGAAAAAGGTGTCTTGTACCAACTCTGGATGTACTTACTTTAATATATTATAACTAGTTTAGTCAGAATGGCAGAAATAAGCCTCCTCCCAAGGGTGGCTTGGCTCTCCCTTGGAGAAAGGGTGAAGAGTTCAGTCATTCAGGAGGGACTCGGACTAGAGCTGCTACTCTCCCAACTCAAAAGGAGCCAGTTCAGATTTTTTTGGGCATCTGACTAGGATGCCTTCTGGACACCACCTAGTGAAGGTATTCTGGGCATGTCCTACCGGGAAGAGGCTGCAGGGTAGACCCAGGACACGCTACAGAGATGGGATCGTCTTGGTGTGCCCCTAGATGAACTGGAGGAGGTGGCCAGTGTTACGTCCCCTGGCTAGTCTAGGGGGTGAAGGGATGAACATAAAGGTGGATAGTGAAGGAGGAGCCAAGATGGTAACTTTCAAAGGTTTATTTAATGCTGGTGATGAGATTTGGGTTCAGACTGAGGTATAACTTCAGGGAGAGCCAAGGCCAACATAACAAACAAAACATCCCTGATGTAAAAATAAAAGAAACTTACCTAACTCCAAAGAAAACAAAATATACAACCTATAACCATAACCTACCTAACAACACATAAACTGGAGAAAATGGGATGTCAAAACAAAAGGCAGCTCTCCCCTAGAAGCAGTCTGAACATGAAAACAAAAATGCACATACAAGTCACAAAGGCATGCAAGCCTGCACAGGTATGGCAATCAAAATGACCAGAGGGCACAGAAACACAGCTCCACAGGCCTTAAGTAGTGCTCCGCTGATTAACAATTATCTGGACTCTGAGCGGCATCCAATCAGGACAGAGGAGGTGGAGCCTAGACAAAACAAAGAGTTAGTAGGGAGAAGAGACATCCTCCTGGGGGATGTCACACCAGGAAGAGGGGGAGTGCTGGGTTTTTCTGTTTAGACCCGGATAAGTGGTAGAAGATGAATTGATTGGTAGCTTAGTTAGTTTAATGTTAGCATATTAAGCAGCATAATTGCAGAAATCTCAGGCCTTTTTAAAAAATGTTTTTTTCCGTAGAACTGTCTTAAAGCCTACAAAGAATATGTAAACATTTCAAAGTGAACACAAGAAATCCAACAGGAGCAGTGGTTGTGTTGACAAACAAAAATGTGGAAAATTTTAGGTGCTTTATACGGCATCAGTCATTTGCTTTGATGTTGCAGCCAAAGGTTTCCAGGTGATCACAGAACTTCACAGTCCTCCTGTCATTGGTTGGCTCAGAGGTACAGTAGCTGCTCTAGGATTCCTTCTTGTAGTTCCGACTTCCTGGGGGAGCCGCTGAAGGATGTTGTCAGTGATGAATACTCTTTGTAATCTAACGGGATATTAGAGTGGAAGTGCTCAACATTCAGCTGGAGGGAAAGGGGAATAGAGGGAGAACATTTACACAATCTTATATACATGGAAACCATGAAGGGACTTGGTATTGATTATATGTTTTGACTCTGTTTTTCTGTTTTTGCTTTCTACATGTTTCAGTCTTACTTTAATCATCTGCTCTTCCTCTTTCCTCCACCCTCCCTTCACTGTTTCTTGTACTATGTATTTTGATTACAAGAATTAGTTTCAAAACAGAGTTGGTGCAAGTATTTGAAAAAGAGCAATTACTACTTTATATAACTTTGGAAGACATCAGGTGTGTTCACTACAAATAATCAAGTCAAGACTTTGCCTTTATTGTTCAGGCACAGCTTGTTGTTAGACGGAACTAGAGTATGGAGAAGATCATCATCAAGGCAAGAAAAACATAACAGGAAAAAACAAGCAGTAAATGTAAAGGCAAGAGGCTGAACTATCAGTAGACTGTCTCTCAAGTGTCTATTTCCTTCTCCCTTCACAATGTGTTCCCATGCTTAATTGGAAATGTAGTGTAGGTAATGAACCCATTTATAGACTCATTACAATATTCTGCGCTAGCAAAAGGTATTGTGCTGAGACACAGGACAAGAGCTGTGGAGAGGAGAGATTAGAATGCAAAGAAGTGAATACATGAAGGACATTCATAGATGGGAAAATATGAGACTAAATATTTTGACATTTAAAAAAAAAAAGGGTATCTCACAGGTGTACTTTTGTGTCTTTGTGCGTCCTGATTGTTGTGATCAAGATAATTGGGAACCTGTCACCTTGTGTTGTACAGTGAATGCTTGCTGAGAAACATGGAGATATAGCCATGTTGCCCCATGTCATACAAACTCCGTTTTTTGGATTGTAAGATTCAACACCACGACAAAAATCATAACTTTTAGAGCAGGTCAGCCTTATAGCAGTAACTGGTAGCGATCAGAAAAGGTGAAATCGATGAGAAAAAGAGAAGAAATATGCACGATAAGATGCAAGGGTTTATCTCCACTCCTCACTCTGTGCTATACTTGGCTTAGTTTGCTCTTGCTGGGAGTTACAAGGTCAGATTATCAACACTGTCATCTTTTATCATCAGTATTCCAGCACCTATGCTGGTTGGATCCTGACTAGCCAAAAAAACATGTCTAGGAGAAAGTAATGGGGACAGAAGGGTACACGTATAATAAAAAAAATGTTTGAGCATTCATTCATAGCTTATTTTAGTAAATACTGTCTCACAATCTTTGCGATACCTCTCATCACATTTGCATCATCACAAGAGTATACTAAACTTTACTGTTATGTTTCATCCCAGCCAGCTAAATTTTCACATAAGTGCTCACTAAACCTCAGCGTAGTTAAAATTCTGTTTGCACAATGTTTGAGAAAATTCTATTAGTTACAAGCTGTGTACTAGAACCACGACCTTAACTCGTGATGATGAAGATGAAATACAAAGCAGAGTAATGGATTCACCTGCCATTTCCTGTTTTAAATCAAATAACCCATGGTTAAATGCTTGGGAGAAGTGCATATTTTGATGCCAGCGACTCACTCTGTCATACTTAATGGCACAATGTTTTCTCTTTGACTTAATGAGCTTCATTAAGGTCTGACTCACTAGTCTTCTGAATTTTTTTTTTTTTCTTCCCCCCTCTTATGCCAATTCAGTAACAGGAATTGCTGTTTTCATGCTGGGTAAAGTGCTACAGTGCACATCACTTCTTTGCTGATCTCTTACTTGACCTGTTGTCTACATAGTGCGTCTTGTCCATGTGCAGGGTTATGAGTACACCCATTATTCAGTAGCTTGTAGAACCACCTTTAGTAACAATAATTCAATGTAATGGTTTTCCATATAACTTTATCAGTCTCACACATCATTGTGGAGAAATTTTGGCTATGCACAGCTCTCTTAATGTCCCACCACTGCATTTAATCAGGTCGAGGTCTGGACTTTGACTTGGCCATTGCAAGTGGGATCATTGGGATCATTCTGCTGTTGCAGTATAGTTGTCCATTAACCCCCTTAACTGTGATTGTACAGATTTTTTTTTAATAGTAACATTGTGTGTGTGTGTGTGTGTGTGTGTGTGTGTGTGTGTGTGTGTGTGTGTGTGTGT